TAGAATAGAATAGAATAGAATAGAATAGAATAGAATAGAATAGAATAGAATAGAATAGAATAGAATAGAATAGAATAGAAATCTTTATTGGCCAAGTGTGATTGGACACACAAGGAGTTTGTCTTTGGTGCATATGCTCTCAGCGTACATAAAGGGAAAAATACATTCATCAAGAATCATAAGATACAACACAGTGATAGTCATAGGTTACTAATAAGCAATCAAATCATACTAGGAAACAAATAAAACAATATAAATTGTAAAGATACAAGCAACACTGTAGGAGGGAAATAGGTAATAGGAAGGATGAGAAGAATAATAGTAATACAGTTTTACTAAGTATTTTGACAGTGTTATGGGAATTAGTTGTTTAGCAGATTGATGGCGTTCAGGGAAAAATGTCCTTGTGTCTAGTTGTTCTGGTGTGCAGTGCTCTATAGCGTCGTTTTGATGGAAGGAGTTGAAACAGTTTATGTCCAGGATGTGAGGGGTCTGTAAATATTTTCACAGCCCTCTTTTTGACTCGTGCAGCATACAGGTCCTCGATTGAAGGCAGGTTGGTAGCAATTGTTTTTTATCTACTGTTGATACTGTGTTGTCTAGTATTGTAAGAGATGGTTGTATAGGAGGGTTTCTCCTAAAATCCACCACCATTTCTACAGTTTTGAGTGTATTTAATTCAAGATTGTTCTGTTTGCACCACAAGGCTAGTTGTTCAACCTCCCATCTGTATGCAGATTCGTCATTGTCTTGAATGAGACCAATCACTGTTGTATCATCTGCAAACTTCAGTACTTTAACAGAGGGATCTTTCAAGATGCAGTCATTGGTATATAGAGAGAAGAGAAGTGGAGAGAGCACACAGACCTGGGGGGCTCCTGTGCTAATTACACAGGTATCTGTACAATTCGATGTGATTTTGCTTAGCTTCACCTGCTGCTTCCTGTCTTTTAAGATCCATTTACAAGTGTGGTCAGGTAAGCTAGTTGATTTAGTTTAGTTAGAAGAATGTCTGGAATGATGGTGTTGAATGCTGAGCTGAAGTCTACAAAGAGGATCCCCGCATAGGTCTTTGGAGATTCAAGATGTTATAGGATCTTGTAGTGCAGAGTCATATTAACAGCATCATCTGTCAATCTATTTGCTCGGTAGGCAAATTGCAAGGAGTCTAACAGCAGATCCATAATGGTTTTCAGGTGGGCCAGCGCTAGCCTGTCATGCCCTTGGTAGAGTCGTACTCTGAGGGAGAGGAGGAACAGCCAACAGGGAGTGGAGGTGTGGCTCTGGAGGTTGTGGAGGAGGCTTGGGAAGGGCAGAGGCTGGCTGGGCAGTTAGAGGAAGAACCAGGGCCATCCCCTCTTCATCCTAGGGCATGCAGGGATGAATGGAGAAGGAAACAACTTGGCTTACGAGAGAGGAAGCGGCCATGATCCCCCTCATTAGTTGCAGCTGGGGAAAATAGTATATAAGAGAGACAGTTACAACACAGTGTTGCCAGAAGCAAAGCGTGTTTTATTTTGGGCTGCAGTTATCTTGGTTGGCATCCTTCCAACAGACTGTGCCTTGTTATTGCCTTGAAGTTAGTAATTACTTATCCTTAGCCATTGTGAAATTTCCTTCATTGTAGTTTGTTTTGGGTTTTTTATTTTACCTCTATCTGCTCATTAAGTTTGGACTGTATTGCTTTCTTTTAAAGACTATTTTTGAGTAAGTTTTATCTCCAGCTGAGAATTATTGAACAGTGGGGCCAAGTTGGAGGCATTAAAGGACATTTATTTACGTTTTGGATTTTGTTACATTTGTGTTACACTCCGGGTCATCACATAGCCTTTTAAAGGTCTTCATAACTACAGATGTTAGAGCAACCGGTCTGCAATAATTCAGTTACTGGATGGAAGGTTTCTTCAGCACTGGGATGATAGTAGAGCATTTGAAGCAAGAAGGAACATAGCACATCTCTAGTGATTTATTAAAGATGCGGGTGAAGATGGGGGCCAGTTGATCAGCACAAGCTTTTAAGCAAGTAGGAGTTATCTTGTCTGGGCCTGGTGCTTTTCCTGGCTTCTGTCTGTTTGATCCTCTTTTGCGACTTTCTGACAAGCGAAGACAATGGGAAACCAGGTTCTCCTAACAATCCTGTTACTAACCTAATAACTGCAACGATTCACTTAACAACTGTGGCGAGAAATGTTGTAAAAGAGGGCAAAACTCACTAACAACTGTCTTGCTTAGCAACAGAAATTTTGGGCTGTATTGTAATCATAAGGCAAGGACTATCTGTATTCTCTGTGCTACTGTTAATGGACTCCAAGTTAGCATTTGCCTTTTTAACATTATGTTGCTGGCTCATGTTGAACTTATAATTGATAAGGACTATTTCACTTATACTACTGCGAAGCCTAGTTTCCCCCATTCCAATAGTACTTTGCCTAGATAAGATCTTTGTGTAGAATTGTATGTAGTTCTGGGCACATCACTTACAAAGGGACAGTGACATACTGGAGAACATTTGAAGGTCTATCAGGAGGGTGAAGTGTCTTAAAATCAAATATGGTCAGGAATGATTGTCGGGGATGGAAAGGATCTGGGTATGTTCAGCCTACAAATAAGATGATTGAGAGACATCATTGCCACCTTCAAATATCTGAAGAGCTATCTTACAGAAGTAGGAGTGAACTTTCTCCGTTTCTTGAGCGAATAGGGCTAGAGCCAATTTACAAGGATGACTTGCATAACTTTAAAAAGGAGATCAGATAAATTAGATAAACTTATGAATTAATAAATCCAAAGCTTAAATTAAAATCTCAGTTTGCTTAATGCCAGTTGTGGGGGAAACATCAATATGCCTTGGGGTTCTGTTTGTGGGTACTCCAGAAGTAATTGGTGCTGGTTAAAATCCTGGCTTAATCCTGGAAGACTTTTTTTTACATTGATAATCACCTGTTCAAATATCTGATAATGAATGATATAATTATCCCCACTTTCCTGCTTTCCTCAAATGTTTCTATTGGTTCAGTAAATACACATCTTGTT